CTGACACCTGAATGTGTTTGGTACCTTGACCAACATTCCAGCAGGTTTTCTGGGGCAGAGCTCCAAGTTGTTAGAGACATGTCATGTATTGAACAAACAAGAGGTGAATCTGGAGCATCACATCATGTTATTCAAGTATTGGGTTTTGGACAACCCCTCCCTTCCAAATGCTTTGTCTGATCGATCTCAAATCCTTGGGTAAAGGGAGAAGGAATCATCCCTTTTAAAAATCTGAAATTTCTGGGTAAGGACACAGGTGGAAGGGGGTGTTGTTGTGAAGTAAGGGATGGTTAAGACCACCTCTTGAAACACAGCCCAGGAGCTCAGAGAGGGATGTCCACAAAGATACATTACCCGGTGGCTTCAGCACGCTCTGTGCCATCGGAGCTCCCCTGATCCCAGGGGCATGGCTTCTAAATGTCGCCAGGGAGTACCTCAACAACACTTTGGGATGGTTATTGTTTGGACATGTTGCCAACCTTAGTCAAGACCACAGGCACCTTTCCACTTATTAAAGAGGAACTCAAGTAAATGGGACTGAACGCAGCTGTCCACTGCTCTGGCCTCTCTGGGAGGTACTTGCATGAAATCAAGAAGGCTCAGGTTTTATCTTAGATTTTTTTTTTGCCTCTCTTATATAAACAAAATCAAAAGGGTCAAATGTGTTGCAAGATAAAACTTGGTTTGATAAAAATGGATGTCAAAAAGAATTGTAGGCAATGTTTCCCCTCACTCATGCCCTTCAATTAGATCACCCTGTGCCCTCCTTTGTATGGTATGTGGCTTGCATTTATATCTGGCTGGGCTATGATTGTTGTTGCTCAAATGCCAAGTTGTTTTTGTGACAGGCAGTGGTATGTTTGGTGTCCCTGCACTCTGGGGCCCTCTGCTTCTCCACAAGCAGATGCTGCTGCTTCTCCCTCTGGCTGAAAGGGTCTTGCAAGCCCATCAGCTTGCAACTGCTTGTCCCCAGTAGGACCCAAAAGACTTTTCCAATAACCGCTTCGTTCTGCCTGGTCCTCGCATTTTGCAAAGGTTTGGAAAAGTGCTTCATAAAATGGAATCAGCAATTTAACAACAAATTAAACATTTTTGTGACCCTTCCAACACTGATTATGGTTTCCCTAGGCTGGCTAAACCCAAAAGCAGCCTCTCTTTGTGGTGTGGCTGCTGCCAAGGCATGAGGCCACATGTGGAAATTAAATATATCATTTTCAAACATCAGCATAGGTCAAGGTTTTACTTAAGAGTCGGCCAAAGGCGCTGGCTAGTTTAATTACTGCTTTTTTTAACCCCGTGATGAGATGTAGCACTGTTACGCAATTGTGGGTCAGATCGCTTCCTCGGGCTCTGGGTAAGAGCATACTCCTCGGTGGTGAGGAAGGTTAACACTTGTTTGCAGGGGGTGCAGAGTGCTATGAGCATGTCAGATGCTCTCAGAGTTTGGTAAGCTGCCCTGCACAAGGGTGTTCCCCATGGGCGCTGAATAAAACATCCTCATGGGGAGCAGCTCCTGCGCTGTATGCTCTGCTCCGCCTTGTTACACGCTGCTGTATGGAAAGCCGGGTGCTGCAAGTGAAGTAGGGATGGATTTGCAGGGGTTAAAAGAAGATGTGTTGGACCTGTGCTGCGGAGCTTGAAGTTAGAGCTGGTTGGTGTGGTATGTAGGGATCAGGGATCATTGGCAGGAATACCAGACCCTGGGCCTCCCGGGTGGCTGCTATGCTGGTCAAGCTCCATGCCATTGACTCCCTGGCCACCTTCACGCTACACCAGGACGCTGAATACCGAAGTATTCACAAGACCAGATTCTCATGGTTTTGCTGTGGTTTCAGTAATGGATGTAGGCTTTTTGGGGAGGAGGTGAAGGCTCCTAGTTACTGTTGTGAAAATGGTTTGCTCAGCTCATCTGCAGGGCAGGGGAGAAGGCAGAATAAACTCAAGAGGTATCTGAAGGCCAGTCCAGGTGGTACCTGGGGCTTGTGGTGCCTTGCAGGGTTCTGTTGAGGCATGCCTGCTTCCTATGGCTGGCAGGGAATGGTGGCAGGTGAGATGCAGCTGAGCACTGGCTGAACTGTTACAGGAGGCAGTGGGGGTTCAGGGAAGGAGAGCAAGAGCCCTGCAGTGAGAAGTTAACATGCTGACCACCGCCAAGGCATGCTGATCGTGGAGAGGAGAGATGACCCCTCTCCATAACTTGGCAGCACTCCCTCCGAAACGGTGCCCCAGTGACCTGCCAGAGCAGGCAGGGGGTAGAGCAGGGGCAGGAGTGCTCTTGCTTCAGTGCACCAAGAACTCATCTGAGCTCTGGATTATGCACTCATGGGCTTCACCAAAAGGATTTTATCCTGATGTATATAGTCTTCACTGTCATGTGTTTGTGTCCCTGCCCTCCCGGAGGGCAAAGCTGGTGCTTATGACCTCCTGTCTCCCTTTTTTTAGAACGCTTCCAAATATCACTTTCGTTCTCTCTCCCAGTGTTGGTGTGTGTGCTTCAGCTTTAGTGTCAAGATGATGACTGGTTTATCGGGATAGGTTTTAGTCCACAAAGGAAGACTTAGTCAGCTCCGTGGTTATGTCATACCTGCTTTTCTAACATAACTGTTATTTCAAAGCATGAAAGATCTGAAAACTAAAAGAAATACAGAAAAGAGATATAGGGCCTTGCACATGATATTTTCCTTGTGCCTCAGGACATCAGTCCCAAGGGTCTGAAGAGCCTTGCCTTTTCTTTAGTAGGTCTGAGTGAATAATCAGGCAGAAGACAACTCAGGTTAGACACCGGAGTAAAGCCATTTCACTGTTGCAACTTTCCCTTCATTCCTTTGGTGCATCATATCTGACACCAGGATTGAGTAATCATGTCTCTATAACCCAGGAAATTCCAAGACTGAAAGTTCTTAAACCAAGATGTTAACTTTGCTGCCTTGCATATCCCATACACTTCATTGTGCAGGTCAAACAGCGAGTGATATGCTATGCTGACAAGGAAAACAGGGATAGGGAATGCTGCACATGCACAATTTGGCAGAGATAATGTAGAAACTTTTGGTATTTGTTGATATTCGAGGGGTTTATTTTTCAGCTTTAACAGTCAGTATTGCTGCTTTTCCCCTACCACACAGATTGTAAATAAAGGCCAAGTTTTGAAGAGCAGCTTCAGAGAAGAAAGTGCAGTTCCTGACAAGTTACATTTCCGTGTAACACTTAAGAAATGCCAAATCCTTAAAAATATTTGAGGAACTTACTTAAAAATGCTGCTGGAATCAGTTAGCCCTCCCTTGTCACTTAACCTCCCCTAGAGCTGTAATCTAGGCTGCGTTAGTAGTATAGCTGTCAGGAGACTAAAGTGAATGTGGTCTGTTCCTGCCTTTTGTTTTCAGACTAACATTCCCTGCTCTGACAATTTGACCCAAGATTGCTTTAGTGGCCATCCAGCTTCCTAAGGTCTCGCATCCAGATTCTATTTCTACCTATCTGTTACTGCTGGAATCAGGTAAAATTAAGGCATTTTTTTACCCTCACAACATTATTTGGGAAGACAAGTATTATTACAGCTCTGGTTGAGATGCTGATGTTCTGAGCAGCAGAGCACTGCATGTGAAATAGCAGCTGCTATATATTCAAGGGTGAAATTCCAATAATAGTATTCTATATAACCTCTGGATAAATACTTATGCTTGTGAAGGTTAAGTGACTTGGAGTACTATAAACTCCAGCCTTTTGGACAGGCCATGGCAACTTAAGCCTTCTTGCAGTGACTTACCAACGACCTCTCTCCCACTGTAGTGGCACAGTGAATGCTGGAGGTAAAAAATCAGTGGATCCTGAGGTCTCTGCTGAGCAGTAACATAGTGCATAAAGCACATCAGATGTTACCTGAACCCAGCTACTCATCTTGGAACTGCTTCTCATCTCTAACTTGAGAATGCATGCTTGAATGTCCTTCAAACTTCTCCCAGTGCAACTTCATTCACAAACCCTGCATGGTGCTGTCTCAATATTGGTATAAGAGAGCAAAAGCCTCTTGAAGATGACAAACATCGTATTACAAACTGGGTTTTTGGTGTTCTGCTCATGTGATGGATGGGAAGCACGTAGTTATCCTTTTCTAATGTGTGGGCACATCTTCAAGGTTCTGGTGTGGTTAATTTGCATCAGAAGTGCAAGGGGAAACCAAAGGCCAGACTACTACTAAACCAGTTGTGCAAGTTAGGTCCTATTAGGATCTGTAGTTCAGGGCCTTTTATCACTCATGAGGCAAAAAACCCACCCCAAAATAGGCAAAGCTCAACCTGTCAGTGCTAGGATTTGTTCCAATCATTTAACCTGTTTTCAAAAAGCCGTGTAATCCCTCATTTGCTTCCTAAGCTATGTTCCAGAGGGATGGATAGAGCCATACTCCTTTTCTTCCCCCTCTCAGTAGTGCCATTACTTCCAACCTAAAACCAGAGAACAGAACTCCACTTGATACAGATGATGCGTTCCTTTACACTCCTACCTGTTGATCAGGAATGACTCCATCCATGCTAGACAGAAGAGCAAGCCACAGTGATGTGTCTCATTTTAATCTGAGTTGGAAGGAAGTGTTTCACTTGCTGCTTTGAAGCACTGCAATGATATTTAGACTTCTGTCTTCCACTGAGAAAACAGAATGCACCCTTGGCCTTTCAGGAAGCCATCCTAAATCAGGGCTCTGTTGATTTAGTTCTACTTGCCCAAAGAAAACAAGTTGCCAAAACCACATCTTGAAGTAGCTTTCCTAAAAAAGCCTGATTTATTTCTCTGCCATTCCTCCATGGTTGGTAGCTGTTGTCAATACTTGCTATTATCTTTGGAGCAAGAACATTATCAGCAGGCTTATGACTTACTAATGCCATGTTGAGGATTGTTTATTTTATCTGGCAGTTGATATCTAAAAGAATGGGTTTAGGACAGCGATATACATTTCAGTCTGAGGAACTCATTAATAATACTTTAATCCACAGGAGTCTTAGGTTTTATTTTGCTTTACTCAGCACTGGGAAGTTCTTCTTCTTGACTTGTCCTCTCTGAACTTGCCGAGCACGAGTTCCAAAGCCCAGAGACTGCATTGATTCTGTTAAGTACTTCTGGTTAGGAGATATGCACAGCATCACCAACAGCTTAGCATCACCCCCTGAAAGCAGAAAACAAACAAAACACATTTACCTCATTATTTTCAGTAAGTTATACATTGGTAATGTTCTGATCTACACAACAATGAGCATAAGCTACCTGCTGTTGCTTTTATGAAGCAGAAGGCTGCCCATGATAAGGGCTGTTGATAACAGACAGCTCCTTCAAGTGACCCAACCATAATGTCAAGGAATGTGCAAATATGTGACTACACCCTGTAGTAATAAAGACTGAAGCTTTAACTTGCAAACTGTACCCAATATGAAACATGAGTGAAATGCAATTGTTACCCTTTACATGATCCTGTTAGAGATTATGTGGTTTTTTACAAGTGCATTCCTGAACTGAATCTTGGGAACAGCAAGGCTTAGCCAAATTCAGGAGCAGTTCAAAACTCTCACTGTGTACTCACACTGCCCCAAAGCCAGAGACTTTGAATAGAGGCCCACATAGAAGGGATGAGTATGAGATCACCCTCTAGTTTTACATAACAAAGGAGGGGAAAGATTGGGAAGAGAAACCTATATTGTTAAACCAAAGTCAGGGAAAAATCACCCCTCACCTAGGGAGTCCTGCAGCAGATGTGTGAGTTTGCTGTTTCGATACGGTACATGAGATCGCTGTTCTGCGATTGCTCCGAGAACGTCTGCTAGGGCAGACAAGCTGCGGTTAATAAATGAGGTCTCTCTCAGTGCTGTGCCCGTCACTCCAGACATACCTACAGCCGTGCAGAGAAAGGCAATGGTAAGATCAAGCAAAGCTGCTTCAACTGTAATGTGTGAAAAATTCTGTTGCTGTACCATGCAACACTTTTAAATCAAGTTCTGAACCATGACTTCCAGTCCACCCATGCCAAAAGCAAGATGCAGTGGTTTTTCACTCGGGACTGCTAGTACATTGTTCAGTACTTCTGCTCTTTTGAAGGAAGGTTAAAGAATGTTCAGTGCCGGAAGATGGTCTGCATGAAGTGTCTCATGTTAAAGCTGCTCTCTTCAGCTGTACAATTTGTCTTGTCTCCACACGTATTAGGAACAGGGAACCGAGAAAGTAGGAACACCGTAAGATCAAACAAGACAATGCTGCTTTTGAAAACATGAGTCCACAGGGTCCACCAGAGAGAAGCCTATTGTGGGCCACCACTTTTTATAACAGTTAACTAACTGCCACGTTTGTATTCCTTAGGAAAAACAGGAGTGACAGTGATGGCACAAGCTGCAGAAACAAAACTCTACAGCAGCCATAAGCGTGAGGGGTTTATGCTCGCCAAAGCCTGCAAGGTGCTGTTTTGTGGTATGATTTGCTGTAAGGAAGCTGATAAAGGAGAATGATGCCCTTCTACCATCCGCCCAGCATAGTGGTATATAGCTATGCTGCCCTTGAACAACTGGAAAGGTTTGGTCTACACATCACCTTACACCTATTTTGAAAAGGTGCTGCAAGCTCAACTCTCAGTGAGTGTGCAGATAAGAGTTCCTCCTGTCTTTACCTCTTCCATTTCAGGAAATACAGCACGTTCCAAACTGGGAGAACGAGTGTGGTGTTCAAGAGGCAAACGTGAAAAGGTTCAGTAACAGCAAAACCCACGGAAGTCTGGACAGTGAGGGCTGGAGAAATGTGACTTTGGGAGGGGATGGGGCTGGAGTGATAAAGTCTCTTGGCAGAGAGCCACAGAGTAAAACAGATTGGAAGACCCTGTCACAGTCTGTATCTCAGACTGACTTCGCTGGGGTCATTGCGTATGTAGCCGTCCCCAGACTTCTTTTATCACAAGTAAAGACGGACTCCTGAGACAATGGGTATCACCCTAAAGCAGAAAACTCCAAGTAGGTGATGGGGTACGTGTTTAAACTGCTGATTATCTACATTTGGTTAGATAAAATTCCACAAAGCATTTAGCTGAGTTTTCAAACTGAAACCTAGTTTGCTAAAAAGGGACCACTTAGCTTGTAAATGCTGCACATGATCCGGGATGGCTGTAGAGCTAGCAAGGCAGGGTGCTTAAGTGTGTGAGAAGCCTCCTGTACTGTTGCTCACTTAGGCTTGTCCACATTTTAGAACAGTTATGAGTTACCAGCTGCTCTCACTTTTATCAGAGTAAGTCCAGCAGTGTAGCTGGTGACAGAGGTTAGTCTGCTGCATGTGCTGGGCCACGTCTAACACCTATGTGAACACAGTTCTTCAGGCTTCATTGGAGGATCTGGCCCACTGAGCCCCAGACCAGGCAGATGTTTGTCCCGGTTGAGAGAACGAACACACACCCTGTTGCTCAGTTACATGTTTACCAGACAGTTTCCAGCACTTGGAGCAAATGAGAAAAAGAATGAATTCTATTAGGTTTCTCTAGAACAAAAGTTTAACAGTGAGCAACAGCAAGAATTCTTGGCAGTGAAGTAAAAGACTCTTTCATAATACTGGTTCAGTTTTCAAAACATTATTTCTGGAATGGTACGTTTGGCTGCGTGGTTTTTCATGGTAAAAAAGCTTGTGCTTTAGGAAATAATCAAGTTTTTGAAATTATTGTCTGCATACAGGAGGCAGGAGGAGGAAAATGCTTTGAAGAAACAATGAAAACAATATTATCTTTTCAACATTAACTTCCTCCAAGACTCTTTCTATAATAAGGCAGAGAAACCCACACATGGTGATACCAATTATTATGGATATGTGTAATATTTCAATAATTTATGCAGTTTAAATATTTCTGTGCAAAGACATGCTAATTTTTAGAGTAGAAAAACAGGCTTAATAAAACCAGTCTGAACAAATAATATACCTATGATATGGGTAACCGCCCCGGGCTTATTTCAAGCTTATGCAGTCGGATTTTCAGTTAAACTGTACCGGTGTAAAACTAGAACAACCCACCCCCAGAACTCTGTTTATGCCAGGATGTGTGGGTTTAAACCACCCCATGTGTGAAAGCAGGGTAGCATGTATGCCTGTGTAAAGAGGTAAAGGCTACTATTGCAACCTAGATCTGGGAGGATCCATGCCCACACAGAGATGTTTGCTTACCAACACACTCACTACCAGCCAGGTCCACCAGTTGCAATCTAGTTTTGACTTGCTTCATTTTCTCGGTTGCTTCAAGCTGTGCTGGTGAAGAGGCTCTGGAAGAAGAGGTTGATTTATTCTCTCTCCTTTTTTGTGGAAAGGTGCAGGAAGCCTCTTTGTCTAGTCTCTGAGTGGTTTGTTCGTCTTCCCATGAAGTACCTGGTTAGTGATAAACAAGGAAATTGAGATGGGAAAAAATGGGGCATCAACAGGGGAAGTACAATATCTGCTGTTTCAGGCCATTCTAACAGAAGCAATATACAATCAGAATCAATGGCGCAGGCTGGCTGAATCACTTTTTCTTATTTAAGGTTTTGCTCATCAGACAGATCACACCACTTGGTAACAAGGCTTGGTATAGGTTGTGTTTTATCCAATATCCCCATTGTTCACACTTCTATGTGGAAAACAAGATGCAGGAGTCCAATAAGGACTTTAAAGAGTCATTTTTTCATGGTTTAGACTGACTGCAACCGAAGTGAGATTTTGGGTGTTTGGAAGCAGTAAGCTGTGAAGCCTGGTTTTATGTATTTGAAACATCATCACCTGCTGGTGCTCTGGGCAAAAAAAAAATTCTCATCAGGCCTCTGCTGTTTCGTCTTTAGCTGCTGTTCCCTCTAGACTTCCTTCAGCTCTCATACCCCACTGCTGCATCTCCACTTGATGAGCTATTAGCCTCAGTAACATTACTCCCATTTGTTTAGATTAGTTATTCCTGGTAGTTCTGTTTTGCACTACACTGCTTCATATCCTTCCTCTTCTTCACCAGCACTATGTGGCTTTCACTCTCTGCTGGGAAGGAAGAGGAAGACAGATTCCCTGCGAAAGCTGCTTTCACATTAGCTTAGCACGAGGATATGCAAAAGGACTTTCCCAAAGAAGTTTTTCTTTTTTCCCCTCAGTGTTTTGGTTTTCATCCTTCTCTCTGCAAGACATAAAAGAATAAAAGGCACACAGTCTGCTACACATAGTAGACTTTCTTGGAGACTTAAGAGCCTAGGTGCAATAGTACAAAGTTCCAGCTGCAAAACTTGAGTAAGGAGTAGACTAAATTGCATTGCAGAGCTCTCCATCTCTCAAGCTAGGCTGCTGATAGAATGCAAGCTAGCTGCTTGCAGTGTAGACAAAGCAGCTGTGTTAGTATACACAGAATAAATTGCTTTTGGCCATAGAGCGTAAAAATAAGTGTTCTTGCTCCTCTTCAGTTTGAGATGAGGACATTAAGAAACTGCTCTCCTCAAACAGCAGATAATACCGAAACAAAACTCTGAAAGACTTTAATCCAACCTGAAAAAGTGCTGGCTTGTCAACCCTGGATTTAGGTGCAGAACTCATCACACTTTACAACTCTTTATTTAACTTAATTGCCTTAAATCTCCGGTGTTGAGATACTTGAAAATTGCACCTAGCATTTAAATCAGGATTTTCTGTTGTTAAACAAGACAGAACGTGCTGTCACACTGCCATAGTGAGGTCCCATTTGCAGTGCTGCTCTACCCCCCATATTGCACATCTTCATCCACGCGCTAAGAGCTGGAAGCCTTAGTCTGCATTCAACATAACTCAGGCTTTTCTGTGAAGCTTTGCTACCAGAAAACATGGCCTAGAAGAGTGACTGCAATGAGAAGTGGAGAAGGGAAGCCTGGCCTAGACAAGAGGGCTGGTGCCCTCACAGTGCAAATACTGTTTTGAAAAGTAACTCCTGTCTGATTGACACGAATCTGGAACTGGCAAGAGCTAACATCTGGAATACTGGAGCTGCAACTTGTGAAGTAACTGTGTCTTTTGGCAAGGCCCATAGGTAAGTGAGGGCACTGTTTGTTCTGTTTTGCTAATATTGTTGGTTTAATTTCTGATAGCAATCTAAGGGAAAAAATGTTAAGTATTTTCCACTTTCTAAACCCATCCTGTTGTTGCAGAGCATGAAGGAGATGGACCACAGCACTGGAAGCAGAGAACCTAATTACAACATGAGCAAAAAGAAAACAAAGTTAACCCCCCAAGGCTGAAGTTATTCCTAAAGCAATAATCTGGTAAGTCTTGGTGTGGCAATGAAAAGTAGAAATACAGGTTTTGCCATAGTAAATAAGACAACTGTGCTGTCTGTTCCTACAGTGGCCTTTTATTAACAGTTCAAGAGATTATGAATTTAATGCATGTTTTTGCAAGGCAGCAGGTAAAAAAAAAAAAATCATTTTTTCTCACGCAAAAGCATATGATGGTCCCTAAAAGGCATGGTTACTTTACCACAAACTTAGCATGAGTACAATGTCATATGAAGTGATTTAACTACTGTATTTGAGTATCTATCTTATGACTTATTGATAACATTACTTTCATTAGTTGTTTTATGCTATAAAACTTCAAGAACTTCTTTATATATGTAAAGGAAAGTTAAAAGTTTTTATGAAAGTAAAAGTTTCAGTAGCATTCAAACATCAAACTGGTCTGTTATTGAAGAAGGTGAGTAGAAGTTAAAAAATGGAAAAGAACTGAGGGAATGGATTAAACATTGGAAAAAGGAGGAAAAAACCGATGGAAATCTGTCAGTCCACAGACTGTTGTTCAAAACCCAACTGTATTTTAGTAACATCCTACTTACCAAAGTTATCTCCAGAGACAACTGTGGTTATGGTCAATGTAACTACCAGATGAGAACGAGAGGAATGAGCATGTACCAGTGTTGGGTGCTTGACTCTCAGCTGCAGGCCTTTGTTGACTAGATGCAAAAATTCGGATGCATTTTCAACAGTCCTAGGGAGTAAAGAAACAAGCAGAAGATTTAACGGACAGTAAAAGTCACACAAGAAAGCTGACAACTTAGACATGAATCTGAGCATTTCCACCCCCCCCCCACTCTTCTAGCTCTTATACGAATCTCAGTTTTGAGCTGCACAAACAACTGTATTACAGACTTTTTCAGATGGGATATAGACCAAAATGAAAATTCAGGACAAAAGCTGTGATGTAGTACTGAAAATGTTGAAGTGGCCTGCCAGCCTTGCATAGGTAATGTAGCTCAGCTCTCCAGGACTGAAATTCCTATACCTCCACACTTTGGAAGAGAAAGCACAGATTTAGACATTCCTAGAATCTGGTCTTACGCAAGTGGAATTGTCCAGTTTATGTTAAGGTAGCTATTGTTCTGTGAAAGGTACAGAATTAGGGAAAATAGGTATCTCTGGGCCTTTGGAAATCATATTTTGCCTTTAAATCCAGAATTGTTGGTAAAAAGGTTAGTTACACTGTTCAATAAGCAGGGACTCCAGCACAGCATCAGAATACACAGACATAAGTTTCTACAGACCATTTTATCTCGTACTATCCATTTTCTTTTCCAGAAATACGTAAATATGACCAACTGAAGGGCAAAAACCTAACACAGAAAGTGAAATAAACTGATTCAGTAAGGAAGAAAACCAGTATGATTCCCCCCAGGTTTGCAGTGTTTAAAATAAACAAGGTAAGATTGCCTACCCTTTCCTGTCAGTGCATTGCCTCCTTCAATGATCACACAAGTTACATCACCTAAACATTAGTTTCTAGATGGGGGTATAAATTACTATGCCTGCATATCACAGCCTGGTTACTGAATGCCCTGTAACACCAGCACCATTAATAACTCTCCTGACAGGCTGCAGGCTTGGTTCCACACGGCTGCAGTGAGCAAAAGTAGACGTGATATACAGTGAGGGCTTCGTGACTTAGATTTGGCTGATTTCAGTGGAAGTCACATTGGGCACAGACTTATTTTATGCTCAGAGCAGAAATACTTGAAGACAAAAGAGCTATACCCAAGTAAACCAATTTCTTCTAAAAATAAAGCAAGGGCATCTGAAGAACAGAAGAACACTTAGCCACACCATGTTGTACACGCTTAAGAAGAGATGCAGCCACCTAAAAGCAGTTACTTGTGTAACCAGGGCTGCAGGAGCTAAATGATCACTACAGACTTTGCCTGTCAATCCACATGCCAGCCTCCCCTTTAATATCTCTGCCTCTGCACAGCCACTGGTTGTCTCCCTGGTTGGTTGACCTGGCACCAGAAGGGAAGCAGCGGCTTTAGTTCCTACTGGCAGAGAAGGCAGAGCCTCACACTGGAGCAATCTGACCATTGCCTCAAGTCCAAGGAGGCAGATCCTACCTTCCCGAGTTTTGAATTGCATTTTCCAGTAGCTGTCAGCCAAGACTGAAAGGTTTGAGAGGTAAGCAGCCTTCACTAGCAGGTAGCAACAGGCTGTTGGCTTCTGCAGGCTGCTGCTGTGCATTGGCAAGCGGTCAGTGCTACAAGCTGCTGTCCTTTAACTAGCGTCTGCAGAAGATAGGCCTTGGACTAAGCTGTCAGTGCTGGTCTCCTACTGGGAAACTGCAGCTGACTTTGGAGATAAACAGTATCCCCAGCCCAGTGCTGCAGGCCTCTCAGCAGGACTGACAGTAATGATTTTTTTAGTATTATCTCTACAACTTTATCATGCTGTACGTACCACATGTTCCAGGGCCAGATCCTACAAAGAGAAGCCCTGTTGTGGTTAGGTTAAAAATTTGATGCTGAATGTTCTCCAAAGTCAACCAAGCCATAAAAGAAGAAAGAGACTGAGGTTTTTGTGATTCAGTAAGATGTACATGTTAGCAGAAGAGACTACTGACTCTACTGGATATATGGAGAAGCCAATGAGACCCAGCAGGCCAATATATTATAGATGAAATATTATCACAAATGAGGATGTGTTTTTATTCAAAGCACCAGCTGTTTACTTTAGATTTCAGGCAGCTGGGTGGCCTCATTCAATGGTTCCCTTACTTTGTTTGGGTTTGCTTTTTCGTATTAACCTTTCTGTGTAATTATTACTATAACCTGTTTATGAGTTGGACTTTTTTCGCTGCTTGCATTGTAATTGAGATACAAATCCATATTACTATTTATATTTGCATTAGAATTCAGTATTTATCAATTATAGTGGGTTTTAAGAGGTGCTTAGTTCAAGGAACCAGGTTCCTTTACCATAAATTAAAATTTAGAGAAATAGAGAAGCCATTTTGTTAACTAAAAGGACAAATGAAACCTTATTGTAGCTTCTAGTTCTTGTATCTATGGCACAAGCTACATCTCGCCTCTCCCTTCCCCAAAGCCTAGGAAAAGAGATGGGTCACCCAATAAGTATGCAAAAATCCCTTGGGAAGGGGAGTAGGCACTTTTCAGGAATGAAACTAGCTGAAATACTATACTTATAAATTACTTGGAGGTTCTGATGAAGCAGGAAAAGTTTAACTCCCATCATACCCACACTATATGTACCTATCTTAATTTTCTAAGTCATATGGTTCCTTTTTTCCTAGTCAAAGAAAAAGATTAGCTCCTTCAAGAAAGATTCGGCACGCAACAGTTAGACTCTGCTCCCAACCTCTTTTGAAGTTATTCAGTCCCTTGACAGCAGAGCCTTTACCAGACACTAAAAGTTGGAGTAGAGTCACAGTTGGTGAAATCCAAGAACAGAGACTGAGAAACCTGCAAGTCAGCATAATACAGACAGGGCAAAAGGATCATCGCTTCAAGCTCCAGTAATCTTTAATTCATTCCATGCTCTTACAGAGCATGCAGAGTGCAATCAAGGATGCAGAATTTCTTTGGAAATCATATTTAACCTCAAGACTGAAGAGCAGGCGTACCCTAGGTACAAATGCTAATCCATTCTAGAATATTGCAGTGATTATTATTTCATAGAAAGAAAGGAGAGTTACATAGCCCCAGTGGTGAAGAAAGCCACTTTACAGTTTCTCTGGGCTCCCACATTTCTATGAGAGTTCAAGGGCTGGAAAATAGAAGTCAGTAAATAAGTATACCTAGGTAGAATGAAAGATGTTTGTGCAACCCTCCAGTACATTCTTGTATTTTTATCAAGGCTTGCTGGCAATAGCATAAACCCATATAAACAAACAACTATGAGTCTGCTTATGTGACTAAGTCAGTCCCACATGACAAAAATACTGCCTTCAATTATTTCCACTGAGGGTGTATTTTATTTTAATGGGTGTGGGGGGGAAGGAGGGATGCTTTTCATATCTGACTTCTAATTCCTTCTGGAAAAGTACAGATCAGACAATGACAGACAATTATTATAAGAAGTGAAGAAACCATCGTGTTTCTCTCAGAAACATAAATAACCCTATAAGACTGTGCTAAACTTTTCAATAGGGCAAGATGTTTCTTTTCATAAATACCATTTGCCCTAGGAGCAGAATATAATTTTTTTAAGTTTCTAGACCTCTCTGTAGTGCACAAGAGAAATGTTCCCTTCTGGAATCTGTACACATGCTGGGTGCTCACAAGGAGATGTCTAGTAGCTTACCTCCACTGGGAAGCATCACTTCTCTGGTGGCACTAGTACTCCTTGGCATAATTTTTATTTGCTAATGTTGATTTAATACTAGTATAAACAACACAATCCTTACTAAAATGAAACATCTGAAGCAGATTTACTCTTGCTAAGAGTTGAATTGTTATGAACATGTGATTTTTACAGTCTAATTAGCCAAGTGTTTTATATATAGCAAGAAAGTAGTATAAATTTGCTTTGTATTCTACACATACGTAACACCAGGAATTATTCCCATGTGAACTAGAACAAGCCTTTACAATGATTAGTAAGTACAAGAAAGCATTAATGGAAGTATAACTGTAGTCTTAAAATACCTCAGCACTCCCTATACCATCAAGATGTGTAAATAAGAATCCAACTTACCATGAACCGATGCAGGGAAGGTATGTGTCTTAACACTGAATGGGTAGAAGCCTAGCTTACTTAGCTTTTAGGTTGAAGAACCTGGATTTTCAAGAACTATGGGTTCAAATGTGCCCAGTTATGAAAACAGAACACTAAGCAGTGTAAGATGGATATTAAAAGATCACTTAAAATTTTATTCTTTCTAAAGTATTTTTTTTAACCCCAATGCATGTATGGAAAGCTAACACTCTACAACTACGTACATAACTGTTATAAGCTGTAAAATTTTATAATCTAGTAAGACTGAGGAGAAGGTGTTTTGTAACTGGTTACCCCTTCTTTTTCTGCAGCTGATGAGAGGCCATAGATCTAGCAACAACAAAATACACAGCTATCTTCAGGCATTCTGAGTGGAAGGTGCTTAATATAGGAGTATAACCCAAGTTTACTGTTGTTTCTGGAAGTATTTAGACATTTGCAGCCCACTGCAGTCTAATAGCCTAAGCTAATGGAAACAGTGAGAGCTGTTATTTTGCATATGGCAAGGACTCATTGTTTAGAAGTGATAACTGGTGCCTGTAATGCAGTTGCATTGACACCAGATGATGGTCAGCTGATAAGGATCAAATCATGTACTTACACATGCGTAAGCAATGGAACATCGCTCTTTCCTTCTCTGGTTGTGACAACATCGCGTTTGACGCCAAATACTTTTCCACAACTGTCTTTGGCCAGAAGATCAAAAATTTCATTATTATACACTTCTACAACAGAAACCTCAACCCAGTAACTTCCTGGTGGCTTTTCTGAAATAAGCCTGGAGAATAAAAATGGGGGTGGGGGGTGGAAGGGAAAAAAGAAGCTAAAAAATGTGAAGTCAAATCCCAAGTAAACAATCTGTAAAGAAAGATCTAGTCTTTAACTGTAATCTAATTACAATCTGATAAAAGTGTTTATTAAATATCTGCAGCCATGGCTTTGCCTCAGCCATATACTAACATTAAGCTGAAGAATCAGAATATACAGTTAAATCATACATGAAGTAGTAAATAAAACTTCATTTTCCAAACAGCTGTTCCAACTTCAAATGGTTTTCCCTACTAGCCTCCCTCCTTCCTTAAGATTTTTTTTATACCATTTCTTTGCTAGACATTGCATTCAGAGCTGAAGGTATGATAAAGTCTGGCAGAGTGCAAGCAATGAACAGGCAGAGATGGTAAACTGCACAGCTAGGTCCATAAGAGGCTGTCAGTCTCCAGCCTCAGAAAATTCATATATTAAGGAGAGTATTTACAGTTAGACATAGTTATTCTGGTACAAAATTGGATCTTTGATTTAGCTTATACCCTTCTCCAAAAGAGCTTAGCTGGAAAAACCTCTAATGGCTCTTCTATTATAACACAGCAGTGTATCAATCCAAATCATGCATTAGGTTAAACTAAAAAAATCGAAGAATTCTCAAGTAAGAACAGATTGTGGTTAAAACCTCTACTATTATTCTTATAATATTATTATTCTTCTAATCTGGATCCTTTTAATCTATTCCAATTGTCAATCTTCACAAAACATGTAAGAACTTAATTATCCTTTGGACTCCCACAACTCTGGTTGAAGCATTTTCAGAAGTTAATTAGGAGTCTGAAAGACAGATGGGCAGATAACACACAGCAGGACTGCATAATCTTATTTTCTTAGGAAAATCAGACTAAGCAGAAGAGAGACTAGAAATCTATATCAAAACTCAAATATCGAATGGCAGTCAGAGAAGCTATAAATATTAATCACTGTGAAGCTGAAATCTGTAATGACAAATACATTACAAAGATTATTTCATCCTTTCTGTAAAGTTTAAGGTGACTGCCACTGACACTTGGTTGTTACCTGAACACTTCTTGGGTAGCTCGAGGAATAATTCCAAGTTCTGATTCATCTTCTATGGCAAACACAAAGTTCTCCTCTGGCTGCGGTCCCAACATTGTGTATGTCTTCCCACTTCCGGTTTGCCCATAAGCCATGATGCACACATTGTACCTGAAAGTTAAAAGGGCCTTCATTTTCTTTACCATTACCAAATGTGTTCAATAGGTGGCAAGTCAAAGCTCAAACAATTCGGACATGTTAAGGAAACTTCTTCGCCCTAGGTTTTCCACAGCAGAGTCCCAGACATCTGAGTCTTAGAGAAATAATTTAATAATTGAGTGGTAGGAGCAGCTCGAGCTGGGTGCCTCTGGGGATGGATCCCAAACAAAAAAATTCCTGGGGTTTTATACCCTTACATTCTCTGCACCCGACCATCGCATACTGTTCACGCATCTCCTGGTGCGATGGTGAATTTTGGTCTGCTAACTAAACTTAATTCACAACAAGGAACACAAACTGAAACAAAAACCAAATACAGTGCCCCTGCAGATTTCTTTCCGGAGATCTTGAAGTCTGACAGAAATTAAAGCACTGCTCATTACATTGCCTAAACAGATTTTATTTTTTAAGCAGAATTGAGTGGATGCTTTTAAGCAGAGTTTAAGGGATGGTTAGCTTGGAATGACTGATGAGGTTAGACCTCCCGTCTGCTCAACTTCCAGTTCATGCACTACTGAGCTGCTTGTTAATCAGCTCCTGAACCACTGCAGTTTACAGTACAGCATTTTAAAGTAAACCATTGCTGGGTTTGATTTGTCTTACAGTGCTACACTACAAACCACAGCACTAATATCTTAACAGCTGGGAACAGCTTAACAGCTGGGAACTCTTCAGCTCTCATAGTCTTTTTCAGGCAGGCTCATCAGTCATAGCCACTGGAAAAGATAAGACTGCCCTAATAGTAAGAGGCACACATTTTAAACCAACTGCATTATTTCAGTATAAGCATGCACACAAAGAATACTCTGGAATGAAGGTTGCAGGAACTGTTCTGAACTTGTAGAAGGTGAAAATGTGCACTGCCACTGCAGAGGTACAGGCACCTATGAAACACAATTCATCATCTTCTGAAGTAGGCATGTAAAGTACATCATCTCATGAAAAAAACTCTGAAAATGCCCATTTCTCTGCACTGAAAATAAGTAACGTAGAAGTCCGTAGCTATGAGCTCTGTTGTGGATGTCTGTGCTGCAGGGATCTGAATTTAGATGTAAGAGTCCTATCCAGAAAGTGTGATTTACCCAGCCACAGTACTACCTTGTGTTGAGGACCAATACTGTACTATGCAGCTGAAGGTTGGTCCTTACTTAGCTGTGTCTGCCCTGCAGCACATGCTAGCACCTTGGTGCTGACCACAGGACTGTCAATAAGCACTCTTGGAAGACGTGCAGTTATGCTGACAGGACTGCTCCTTCCCTGGACTATCTATCTTGTTTGTTCAGAGGTACACCATGAGCAGACTCTCGAGGAGTGCTTTGCAGTATGCTGAAATTTCTGTTCTACTGGAGGCTGCAAGAATGGGCTTGCTCCTGTTCTGCCAGGGAGTAAAATTTCACTGCTTAAGCTACCTCCTCTGTGGGCAGACCCAAGCAGCTGCTTTTGGTTATCCGATGCTTTTCCTCGTATCAAAAATGTTGTTTCAAGCACATGCCAGCATATTTCAATGAACACCCCTCATCTAATTATTTGAAATGTATGGTTTCAAGTCATGAAATACTTGCATGGCCACTGCAGAGAAAAATATTTGCAGTGATTTTTTGCATATTAAACATGCCTAGAAGCATTTCTTTTTGGAGAAATATTTAGCAAGCTTTTTCTTGCTAGAAAGAAATGTGGGCTGATAAGCAACACAGCAAATATCTGGGTATCCCTTCTGGGGATACGAAATCAAAGTTGCAGTCAGTGAACCTACAGTAAGGTCCTTTCACAGGATGCAGAGTATAAAATAGAAGTTTACTTGTAGATTTGGTGAGGTAAAGGGGATAACTGTAACTGAAAATAAAGAGCACTGCAGCAAAATGAAATAGGCTAGACAGAGCTATAAATCTGAAATGAGTGATTTCTCTAAGTATTCACTGCTGACATAACTCTGTTTCCATATATGTCAGTGGAAATGCTCCCACTAATTTTGGTAGTTTTCAACTAGGTTTACAGTGAGCCATCTTCACAATTCCACCCCTAAGACACACTGTCTAGCCAGCCCATAGCTTATTGAGATTTCTAGCCCCACTCCAAAATTAAAGAGAACTGCAGAACCAAAAAAGGGAACCAGAAATTTTTAAGTAGTAGTTTTCCTTAGGAAAAACAGAATGGAAGCCTTTTTAGAAGTCCTTCAAACTTTCATACAGTCCAGCTATTCAAGTTTTCCTTAATTGCTAGTTGTTAGAAAGTAAGCATCATGGGCAAAATAGCTCTGACAAGATACAGATGATTGGATTAGAAGCTAAGTAGACAGGTGCTTGTAACATTGAAGATAGATAGAGATGCAAATCAAGTATCAATCAGTGATAACTTCTCTGCCAGAGCCAAAACAGTAAGCCCAAATGAGCTAAAACTATCCAAAGCAGTATTATAGCTAAGTAGGCACAGCAGAGAAGGGGTTGTTGGGTGATTCAACAAGATGACAAACAGCAGACTAGTTAATACGTAACTGATTTACTTCATTGGTGTTCTGGTTCCAACAAGAGGGTTTGAAATAGAGCAATCTGAAAATTTTGGACTATGATTCATCTATGTGCCCTGATCTCTCCTTCTACACTCTGCTTCTTTAGTTATATTCTTGGTTAGAAAAGTTGTTATTGTCAAGCTAGAATACCAATAGAATCACAGAATGGTTTGGGTTGGAAGGCACCTTAAAGATCATCTGATTCCAACCCCCTGCCACAGGCAGAGACATCTTCCACTAGACCAGGCTGCTCAAAGCCCATCCAACCTGGTCTTGAACACTGCCAGGGATGGAGCATTTACTACTTCTTTCTTCCTTATATCCAACCTAAATCTCCCCTGTTTAAGTTTGAATCCATTGCCCCTTGTCCTATAACTAACAGCCCCTGATGAAGAGTCCCTCTCTGGCATCCTCGTAGGCCCCCTTCAGATACCGGAAGGCTGCTATGATGACATAAAATAGTTTCATAGTATTTCTCTCCTAAAAAGAGTATGGGTACTAAGTATCGCAAAGTTATCACTAGGAGAGAACACTGTTAAAGGAAATCAAAGGCAGAGAATTGTATTCTTCTTTAAAATAAATAACCGACTCCTCAATGCTGCGAAGAAAAGAAATGTTATCTTACTCCCTTGCTGGCCCTGTATGACTAAATGTAAAGTTTGAAGCTTGCTGTACTTTGTCTGTTTTGCATATGGAACAATCTTTCTTCCTGTATATTTATACTGAAAAGTGAAACAATTCATTAAGAAAGAAAAATAAAGAAAAGGAGTGGAACACACCTTTCTACTTAAGCTAAAGTTGTTACAGACCACTTTGGAGCCCAGACTAAAACAATCAGGAGCAGCAAAGAGGTTCAAGGTTCAGACTAAGTATGTCTGTTTCCCATTTACAATGGCAAAGCTGCTGAGAAACAGGGCTTGTATGCACAGCCTCGCCTTCCCTGAAAATCTGCTTCTGTTTAAATGGCACTTCTGGAAGAACAAGACAGGTCTTTTGTTTTCAATAGCAGAACATTTCCTAACTGAATATAAAACCCTAGCTTTTAGGGCAGGATTCTCCCAAAGTGGGAATTAGAAAGTGGGAAGTACAGCAGATCAAGTACAGATCAGATATGTCTGAAGATACATAAATGACATATTAAGCCAAAGAAACCTCATGGTCATTGCAAAAAAAAAAAAAAATAGAGAAAACAGTGGCTATAAGGACTTCTTAAAGCTCCTCCAACCTAAAGGTCCCTAGGTTGCTCAGCTATGGAAACTGTGCTTACTGATCCTTGCTAAACTAGAATAATGTCATATAGGATCCTTAGACCAGGTAACTGTTGTGGGCCTCGCAGTGACGCACGTAAAGGGATGGCTGGGATTTCCCAGTATTCACGATATCCTGATTTTTCCTCTTCAAAGCTGCTTTTAAGAAAAGGAGACGCGGAAATCACAGTGTGTGGGCTGCCAGGAACAAGGATTGCTACTGTTCAATTGCGCCGCTGTGGACAGAAGTGAACTGCATAGTGCTTTTTACTGATCATTTTTGTATTCAAACAAGAATTCTGTTTTAAACCCAGTGCCTGAAGGAGCATTAGAACTATGACTGAGGATGCTCAGTTCTGGTTCAACCAGGAACTGATCATACAACCTCCTATGGCCCGTGCTGTACACTAAACCAGAACAGATGCTTCCCTTTGCCAGAAGGACACCAGAGAAAAAAACCCAAACAAACACACTTTTTATTTTCCAAATTTGTCTCCTCTGTTAAATTTTGTAAACAGTGTTTTGACTTTTTGTATGGGGAAATAACATTTACTTGGTGTTGAGTAGAAAGAAGACAGGGAAATGGAACTGCAAAGCCATAAAACTTAACAGGATGGCCACTATTAAGTAATTTTTTTTTTAACTAACAACTGATGGATTTAAGTAGATTATTCCACTTTAGCTTCCTTACTTCCACCTTTTAACTTACCCATCCAGGAGAGATGTTAGCAAAGGGGCCACATCCGCAAATACTGTGTCTTGAGTCTCTGAAGCACTGTAAACTCTGAAGAGCAAAGTGTAACAATTAACTGAAGAAAAAAATATAAACATGTTGTCACAATGCAAGAACATAACACTACGGGAAACGTAAGCAAGTGACATAAAACTTGTGACCTGTTGACCTTTTAACACCAGCACAGGGTGCCCAGAGAAGCTGTGGCTGCCCCACCCCTGGCAGTGTTCAAGGCCAGGTTGAACGGGGCTTGGAGCAACCTGCTCTAGTGGCAGGTGTCCCTCCCCATGGCAGGGGGTTGGAACCGGATGATCTTTAAGGTATCTTCCAACCCAAACCATTCTATGATTCTATGTCAGGGAACTAAAAATTAGAACTTCAAAGTTCTCGCCCATTTTTTTGGGAGTGGCCGTAGTGTGTGCTGGAGGGAACGACCCACAGGTGTACACTTGTGGGTCTCTGAACTTACCCTAATCCTTCTGCCTGCCTCTCTGGCAGACAGAATCTACTTTTTTCAGGCTGCACTGGATCTCTGTTACTTTCTCCCACCTGCCAGACTGAAATATCCCTGTCCCCTCTGTCTCCTTTCTGTCCATAAGAAAGGGAATGGTCATGTTGTGCTTCCCTTCAGATGCGGATAAGGTTTTCGGGTACAGAGGCTGCAAACTTGCCATGTGACTTGTCTAAGGAGAGTCAGTGGCACAGCAGAAATCAGAAGGCCCCTGAGGGTTTTGTTTAAAGATGCACTGTCTTTGTGGGCAGCATCAGCCTATGGTACATCCATCCCCATCCCAACTGAACTATCTGCTCTGAAATAAACCCTTCTCAATGGAGAGAAGACTTTCTTTTACCTCATGATGTGGATTCAAACTAATTTTTAAACAGAATGAAAGACAATGAAATTGAATATTCTTCTACCTTTTAGAAAAGACCAATGACAGTACAATCCTTAGGCAAGAACAACATCTAAAACAACTGCATACATTTTTCAAATTCAAGGAAAAAAACAAACTAACACAGGACCCTTCCCCTTCAAAGAAATATTTCCTCTGATCCTTCCGAGTTTTTACAACATAAAATCAAGACTTGAAAATAGGAAATCATCAAAGGGAAGATAATTCTGATCATAAACCATGGGCATTCTAACTCCTTCATTTCTTCTCTAGCACACCAAAAATATATCCTCCCCAAGATTACAGCCTGCAGTAAGCACTGTTTATACAAGATGAACAGAATATAAAACATGACTATCATTAGCCACATTTAAGTATTTAAGGTATGAATATTTATCTTTGGAAAAAGCTTCCTTTTCTGATATCTTTCTGTTGTGATTTTTGTTTTGTTTAGCTCTGTTTTCCAATGAGTGATGTGTGTTCTTTATGGCTTATAGCAAAACGACTAACTAGAAACAGGAATTTTGGGTAGCAGCAAACGTTACAAAGCATAGTCACTTCCGTGTGTATATTGTAGACTAGTACACTTCACTTAGAAGTGTATCCCACAGCTTATGTACGATACTACAAGTGTGACTGAATGAAGACATTGTGCTCTTTAGCATTTACTCAAGCTCTGTATTTGACCATGGTTTGGCCATGACAGTCTATAGCTTGCACAAATGTAGATTTTGCATTCATGTTCTCCATAAAAAAGACTTTACAGAGGGAGCACTGATAACCAGATACAGAATTAGAGCCAACCCACTTAATTCAGCATTTTGTTCCTGACGATAGCCTAAGGAAGGAGCAAGAAACACTATGGTGGCTGGAAACACAGTAATTCATCTCTATGCCTCGTCCTAATCCTTAAAATCTGTAAACTGGCCTTAAAATTGTAATATGAGTTGAATCTCTGTTTCAAAGAAAATATTATTAGAATTAGCATTCCGTTTCTTTTTACATCTTGCTGAATTCTTGGCCTGGAGTAACATCCTGTGGCAATGTGCTCCACAGACTAATTATAAGTTGCATGAAAATGTACTCTCTTTAATCAAGAAAGGAGCACTTGTCTGGCTTGATGGACAAATACTGCTTGTCTTGCCATTCCACTGATGTGCTGTCATACTACACTGAGAAACCAACAAATATGCAGAGATGTGGCACAGTTTGTACTAGGAGGACATAGACACTGAATAGCAATCCCCTGTCCTTGCTTTGCATGCATAGACGCACATGCTTCAGTAAACTTTGCACATCAAATCTGCAAGGTCAATATAAGAGAGCAAAAGCACTTCCAAACACTTTTCTCTGCTTCATTTATCATCTACAATTCATGAAATATTCATTAGCACCAAGCCCTCCATCTTAACCAACGAGGTCTCCAAGTCAGTATATGTTGAAATGTTTTTCTTCTTAACATATCAAAGCATCTCAGAGATCACTACACTAAAAAAATCCCTACAATTTAGGTATTTCAGGGATGAGAATATTCATACTGTCTTGCTATCAACCATTACCAGGGGTGGAATCAACCAACCTTACTGTCAGTTTGCACTGTCAAGTACTACAGCCATAGCTAATATGACAGGTTCAGGTTCTAGTAGCTGTTCAGAGGAAAGATGTGGGACTCCATGTTACAGTAACTACTCCAAGTATTTACTCAATTTCCTAAAGGGGTTTTATTGCCACTACTTAGGTGCTGTGATTCATACGCTACCAGTACCCAAATGAAGTAGTTTAAAGCTATCTTGAGCTAGTATATGCTACACTGTAATCACAGCACTGGCTGAGGCATGGACACTCGCTTAATTAATCTGAGACCATGAAAGATGCAGCAAATCCAGAGAATCTCTTTCTACAAGCCCATGTATTTTTACCAGAATGATGACAGGTTTGTCCCTGTGTAGTGATTAATGTTAATTTCACCTTGAAATTCTGAGCATCTTTTTTATTTTGCTAACTGATTTGCCAATAAAACTATAAAAGCATAACATGCTGAAAGCTGGAATTTTCTTCCTGAGCTGAAATCAAATATTTTGACATTTATTAGTTCCATAAACGTTGCTAACAAAATAAACATTTTTGAGTTCATAAGAACCATATGCTCTTCTGTTTATAGGAAAGAGCTGTGCTGGGACACTAGAAAAACATTCCCCAAGAACTGCATTCTTTGGGGGATTTACATTTTTTTAACCCTTTTCCTGATTATCAGGATCTACACCACATGTTCAGAGTCACAACATCTCTGGAGTCCTATGTCAATACTATTAATGGTGTTGCTCTACAGAGTTTGAATTCCAGCACTATTCTACATTTACTTCAACTGGCATGGCTGTGTTACGTATAGATGGAGGATGAAAAGAATTACTTTGAGTAGCTTAGCAGACACGTGACGAGGTCATGTACCTTGAGAAATCTCATATGCTTGGTGTCAAAGGAGTCCTATAACCTATGGGGTCAATAAAGCTTCCCCAAGATTTGCATTATCCCAGGAACTTTCAGGTTTTGGTGGTCTATACTACAGCAGTCCCCGGTCTTTGTAAGTAGAAAAAGGCAGCATCTTAGAAAGATTCTTCAAGGAAAGGGTGAATGACTTGGCAACATTTAACAAACCCACAGCATTCAGGCTGAGCAGGCTCAGAACTTAAGTTTAAACCAGGACAGATAATTCATGCTGGATACATTTGACTTTAAATCAAGCTTTGCCTCTGAGCAAGGAAGCATGAAATTGTCCTCATGTGTTCTGTTTCCAGAGGATTTTGAGGCATGGTTCAGGGTAGAGGGCCTACTATATGAGTCATTGCAATGTATAGATGCAAAGTTTGCATTAGAAAAAGGTATGGGGCAAAATTTTCCATTTCTTCATTTACAGAAATCTCATTTGTATTAAAATTTAACCCTTCATTCCTGTTTTCAGAAGTTCAGGTCAGCTCCATTCTGAAAGAACATAACGCATCTTTCAGCCTGATTCCCTGCAGTTTTCTGTCTTGCGAACTGACTCTCTGGTGTCCCATAAGGCACAAACACCAACTAAAACCCTTACCACAGCCAGTGCATTCAAAATCTCTCTTGCCTATTTGGATTCTAGAGCATCTAATAAGGTAAGTGGTCACACCACAGCCTTTCCCTGGGGAACACTGATTTATGTGCCACTACTCTACTCTGCTGTCCATGTTCAGGGCATTTTAACTCTAAGTTAAAAGGAGCATGGCTCAACATCGAGTCTTACAAGTCCTTAGTCCGGTTACTTGCTCAGTCATGCTGTATGTATGTCTAACGCTGAAGACATGCAATCCACCTCAATTCATAGAATCGGAATAGTTTGGGTTGAAAAGGGCCTTTAAAGGTCATCTAGTCCACAACCCCTGCCATGAGCAGGAACATCTTCAGTTACATCAAGTTGCTCAGAGATCCATCCAGCCAGACCCCCATCCATGTTTCCAGGAATGGAGCATCTACCACCTCTCCGGGCAACCTGTTCTAGTGTTTCACCACCCTCATTATAAAAACTGTCTTCCTTATATTTAGTCCTAATCTACACTATTTTAGTTTAAACCCATTACCCCTTATCCTGTTTCAACAGGCCTGCTAAAAAATTTGTCCCCATTTTTCTTACAAGCACTCTTCAAGTACTGAAAGGCAAATATCACTTCCTTACCTTTAAAATGTGGGTAACATTTTACTACCTATCTCACAACATGTTGCAAGAATCATCAGAGCTACTCAGACAGGGAAGAGGGTCAAATAAATCTACACAGCTTTCAAACTCAGTCTTTGCTGAGAGGGAAGACTAAGTGTGTCATATATATCTTGAAGTGCATTTTCTCGAGAGAGGTGTGTTGCCTACCAGGGGCTCAGATCAGGGATGTTGCCAAGAGGCTGCCTGGTCTAGTAGGTTCTGCCAACTATTACCCACTTCTAGTGGTCCATGTGGACGCTGGTGATACTGACAGCAGTAGCCTGGGAATCATTAAGAAGGACTACAGAGCCCTGGGAGAGGTGGTTAGGGGCTCTGGGGCTCAGATAGTTTTTTCATCGATCCTCCAGCTCAAAGGGGAGGACCTTGAAAAGGCCAGGTGGATTTGGCAGGTTAATAAATGGTTAGAACAGTGGTGCCATAGGCAGGGATTTGGGCATTTAGAACTTGGGACTTGATCTGGGAGGCCAGGTCTACTGGAGGCCGGTGGAGCTGGTCTAAGGGGAAGAGCTGCTTTGGTAGGAGACTTGCCAGGCTGGTCAAGGCAGCTTTAAACTAGATGTGTTGGGTGAGGGGGTATCGATCCATTCCAACACTCCCAGTCAGTTGCCAGCACCTTTAATAAATGGTTGGAGCGATGCAGAGCTGTTTCAGCCAATCCAGCCAATGAGTCAGCCTCATTTGGAGCACAGCTCAGATGCCTCTATACAAATGCCCGTAGTATGGGGAATAAACAAGAGGAATTAGAGATGTGTGCATGTCTACAGGGATATGATATCATTGGCATCACAGAAACGTGGTGGGATGGCTCCTATGGCTGGGGGGTTGGGATGGGAGGACTCTTTAGGAAAGACAGGCCAGGCAGGAGGGGGAGTAGCTATTTATGTCAGTGATAGGCTGGAGAGTATGGAACTCTGTCTGGGGACAGGTGATCAGTCAACAGAGAGCTTGTGGGTCAGGGTCTAAGGGAGAACAGCAATGGGAGACATTACTGTGGGGATCTGCTACAGGCACCCAATCGGGAGGACTCTGTGGGTGATGTCCTCTATAGGCAGATAGGAGCAGCCTCACACTCGCAGACCCTTGTCCTCATGGGGGACTTCAACCATCCTGGTATCTGTTGGAGGGACTTACGGGTGATCTTAAGGTCCTTTCCAACCCTAATTATTCTGTGATTCTATGATTATGCAGAACTTCCAGCAATCAAGATTGCTACACAGGACTACCCACCTTTCAAACTGAAAAGTCTTGTTTATTGATGCATGACCAGGACGGCTACACTTTACAAGGACAGTTTCCTAAGGAAAAAACAAAATAGTTATGGTTAATATCATAGGCTCACACAGAAACAGAAACACAAAGAAATATATTTATCATTTCTAAGATTCCAGCTGACAGCAGAAATAAGGGATCATGACGTCTGAGGTCCTTCTCCAACAGTCACCAACATGTAAGTCTTTAGAGCCTGTAATTGCAGTGAACTAGCAAGACTACAAGACATGATCTCAAAACATATGTGGATGATGAAAGACCTACCAACACAAAATATGCGCACTTAAGTTCATGAGGAAAATTCAAACCCTTACCTGAACTTATGTGCCTGGAAAGCCATAGGGAAGTAAATCCAACCTCCCTAACTGCCACCACAGGTAGAAAAAAAATGTGGCAAAATGAACCCTTTTTTATTATAGGACCAGCTTTCACAGTGTCTTTTCAGATGGATTTCATGTACATTTGTGCCTAGAATTGAGCAGAAGTTGCATATTTCATAGAGTAACACACTAGACCACCATTGTGAGAAAGAGCTGCACTAGCACAATAGCTGGAATTACGTAAGTTTACAGTGGAATCCACTTTCCAGATGGATTATATAGCAGTTTTCTAAGTCTGACAGCTGTGTAAGCAGCTTTTTTAAACTATTACCAGAGTATAATCATAGCAGTCTGACATGCCTTACGTAGCAATTTCTGCGCCCTTCTGCTCCTTCTAGCAAATGTTGCTTAAGTGCAGAGAAAAGCACAGAAAATACTTCATCTAATCCAAGGAGGTTTCCTAGTTTACTAACCTGGGGTAACATTACTGCATTGACGGGAGTGCTGAAATTCCTACTGTGCTTCAGACAAGTAGCTTGGAGTGCTAAACTAATGGCCTTCAAATTAGCATTGCTTACAGACTGAAGTTGTAAAGAGCTGAGCAAATAACAATTGCATAACAGTATGGCCAGCATGGAAATGGCTAATAAAAACCAAATTTCTTGGTTTGAGTTTACAAGTATTTCTTCCTCTTTGGAGAAGGCCAATGTATCATTATCAAACTAATGATGACAACACTCACTCTAGAGAATGAGCTGTTACCCATCCCAGTACTGGCAAATTTAGCTGCAGTACAGATGTGAGTACAACACTTTGCTGCAGAATGGCCTGACACAGAAATTCTAATAGGATCAGTAACCAACAGGAACTGGGGGAAGGACTAAATAAGAAAAAAAAAAAAGGAAAATAAATACACTGTTACGGAACACCTTGCTGATTCAGAGATCAATGTACTCATGGACCTCCTTTCCATAAAGTGAGAAATGGGACACAAAAAGCTGTTTGCATAACAGAGACACAAAAGAATTGTTAATAGGCTGAACTTTCGTATAAGCATTTGTTAATGATCTTCCTTTCCCAGGACATCAGTATGGACTAACATATATCCACTATGGCTGCTGGCCTACAAAATCTCATCAGGTTTCCCAGACAATAGTGCTTATGAAATCCACACAACTGTCTCACAAGAACACTGAAAAACGTTTTTTTCACCCTAGAGTCACTGAATACTTCCAGTCTGAGTTCTTTCAGGGCAATATGAATCCTGGAAATGACAAAAGTATGCTTCATGAAAGCCACAATCTGTCCTGACACCCAAGCCTGACTCCCCAGGCATGGAGAGAAGTTCAGTATGAGAAATTCAGTAAGGCAGAGAAAGAACTTTAAATTAATTATATGGAATAATGGATATAGACATGATCACAGAATCCAGATGTGGTAATTACCATTTCTTATCACTTTGTACTGCATGTCTGCTGAAGGCTAGGGCCCCTTTCCCATGACTACTGCTATTTCCTATATTTCAATTTGCACCCATTCCTCCTCGTCCTGTCACCACCAAGAAGAGTTTGAGCATTCACTACCTCATCTGCTCATTTTCTTAGGCAGTGACAATACCATTGCTGCTCAGTGCCCTAATCCATGTGGAGCAGTTCAACCTGATGGGAACTGTGTACTCACTCTCCAACATTACAGCACAATGAACTACAGGACAAAGGGCTCAGACAGTTGTTACTGTTATGCTGAAGAGCTGGGCATACATAGGAAAGTAAAAAGAAAACTTAAAAAATCTTAAAGTAGTTCAAAGCCTGAAATGAAATACTTTTCTCCACATCCAGTAAATTCCCAAGCTGTTTTTAGATTTAGAATGAGAATAATGATTCTCTAGACAAGATGAGCAGGATTATAGTAAAGATCATATATGTCTTTTGAAGAATGATATGAATCTCTATATAAACAGAAGAAAAAACACTCGAAGACTAAATGGAATTCAAGTAGTCTCAGTCTCAGATACTCAACCATTCTGTCCAAGTATCAGGTCTGCCCATCTACAAGTCAATTTGAAGGAAGATGTAACACAGCTACTGGCAGAAGAGAAGCAAAGCTGCTTTATACTGTCATTTCTGTTGTGGTCTTTCATTACCAGACAGATGTTTTCCCTATTCTAGTTATAACATGACAAAGTTGTAGCACAGATGAAACAAATCAGCAGATTTCTAGAGCTCCTGTCCAATCCAGGAGCAATGTCAAGCTGAAGCTTGTCCAGAAGATCCAACCATAGTTTCCTGTATGTGTGCTGGAGTGTGTTGTGACTGGTTCTCAAACGCAGCTCTGCTTTCTAACACATATTAGTTCTAAAGTGATCATGGCAGATAATTGCCTGGTTATGTTACATGTATATAGTATTTTCAGGGAAAAATCTGGAAAGACAGCCATGATCTAAAAGGCAAAACTAGTAAACTCAGCACCTCTATCACAGTCTTCCTTCACCCTGGTCTAAAGTTTCCTGTAAATCATAAATACTTGTCTGAAAAATGGTTAACTTGTTTCCAGAAATATAAGCTTTGACTCTCTTGCAACTAAAAGCTCAATAACAGGACAAGCTCCATAATTTTACCTAAAAATTGCGTATTTATCCTAGCCAAAAGCATAACACCATGAGGTGTTAAAAGCAAAATAAGCAGGCCATAAATACTGGTTTCCTTTACTTCTGTTAGACTAAATTGTCTCCTTTTTGTAAAGTCAGTTGTGCTTTTATCCTCCCTGATGAACTTGGGTACTTCAAACAATCTCTTTTTTCCTTAAAAAAATACCCAAAAAAACATATTAAGAAACTAACACAAAGACTTAAGGTGTTTGATCAAAACTAGAAAGCAATTCAGCCAAATAAATGTCAATGCAAACAAATGAAACATTTGAAGTCAATGTGGTGTTTTGCAAATACAGGAAGTTAGTATCTTGCAAATTTTGTTTTGCAGACAAGTCCATGCATACGTATATTTTCCTGGAATATTCCATAAGGATTTTTAAACATGAGAACAGGTTAGCATATTGAAGGTTCACTCTTTCATACAAACTGAAATTCATAAAATGACATAAGCAAGCAGACACTGCTTTGCCTGTAAGCATATAGATACTGTAATATATCAGTTATCTATATTAGATAATCCAAACCCTAAATATTATCTAATTTAATCTTTATGAATAAAATTTAACAGGTCAGAAATGGTCACGGCATTTTATAAATGGGTCATGACATCCAGAATATATCTACCATTACAGATCCCTGATTGTTAATCTCCTGACATATTTACTCTTTCTTAGCTGTGCCTTCATGTGCTCCATTAGTTTCCTAATTGCATATATACACATAAGTATCTACTTTATGCAAGAGCGATCTGCCTAATGAAACTATAATTTGGGAGATTTAAATGCATAAAACATTGGAAGTCACTCCAGCAATATTTTAATCACTATACTATCGAAGAGATTTTGGCTAATCACCATATAAGTAACAGTGAGCAGTAACTAAGAACATTGACAGCTAAGAAAATTAAACCCCAATTTAGTATTTTGACCTTAGCTCACGCTACTGTGCCTTTTTAAGTTTTATATCTTGGTAATGGCCTCAATTAATGCTGAAATGTCATCTGGATTTGCAACCTCAATGCTCATTCTCCTTTCTCTGTTGGATCTAAGCCAGAACACTTCAGTATGTTTGATTGCAGTAGTATCATGTAGGCTGTCGTGATTCATGAGGTACCGTATTTCTCTCCAAATGCATGAGTTGGTTTGCAATAAAAAATTAAGAAAGCCTGACATGATTTTAGAAATCATTACAGCAAATACAAGTGGCTCAAAGGGACCGACCGCAGGAAGTCTGCAGTGGTTTGACTACTGCAAACACACAACCTCCACTTCATGGGTGACTGCACCAGCAGAAGCACCAAGCTATTACTATTACAAAGAGTCAGGATGAAAATAGCACGAATCACCTGTTATTGCACCCATGGGTAATCAAAGCTGGGCACCACTTGACAAGAAAGTACCCATGGCTCACATGTCTCTTGTTTCTCTGTGCTAGTGTCTGTGAATGTGCTTTCAAGTTTCACCATCAAATACTCACATCGTCAGCTGCATATGCCACTTCTTCTGAAAAGTTTCTTTGCCTGTAAAGAAAAAAAAAAAAGCAGCCAGTAAGGAAAAAACCAGCACCTTTCAAGCTAAATATTACATTTAGGTAAGGAAAGCCAATGGTCAAAATGTCTGTGAGCTACAATTGTCCCAAAGTACTTACTAACACCACAGGTCATTGTGGAAAAAAACCAAATTAAAGTGCAACCAAGCAAAATAATCTGCTTAAAAAAAAGAAATGTAGAACAAACCCAATTAAGACTAATTCACAGGCAAGCCATGCTTTTATTTTGAGGTTGTAATGTGAGCTTGTAACAATTGGCTTTCACTTTAGAACATTGAAATGAAAACACCCTCTTTTTAGGTATTTATCCCTGTTCCTGCATCTATTACTAGCCCCAGAACTGACTGGGATTGCTGAGGTGTATAAATGCATTCATGTGTGTAAATGTTTTGAGAATCAGTACTTAGTTTTCCAACTAAGTTTTAGTTAAATTACTTTTTGGTATATTAAGAAGAGTTAGTCTTAATGATTGTTTGTTTAGCCTAGTACATCCTGTTTTACACTGCATTCAGCATCTGGTTGCACTATTCCATAGAGCAATAAAAACAGTGAATGGATTCCTTCCCACTTATATAGCAAGCACAGGTCAATGCATGTTTCCCCTTCAGGCTCCTTGAAATTTCTGTCTACTCTTTTTGCTGTTGTTTTAATTAAAACAATTCTGTATTTTTGTTAAGACTTTTCAAATTTAATAAACTTTAATACACTGAATGTACTCTTTTAGAATTACCAGCCAGCAAAAGTAAAATAAAACCCCAAATCAGTTATTTACTGATAGAACAAATGATAGTTTTACTGGTTTCTAGCCACCCACCTAGATTTCCCCTTTTTTCTCTCTCTGTATGTTTCAATCCCTTCCCTCTTTCATGTTGGTCATCTATGGAGAATTCAGCTTGTTATAGCACATACTTGCATCTAATCCCTCTTCTCCTTTTGGATCTTGGAATGTTTTGACACTTCAGTTACAGTAAGTGTGCTATGAGTTAGGGATGCAGAGCCAAATTACACTGAAACAGAATTACCAGTGTTTGTATAGACAGCAAATCTGTTCTACAGGATTACAAAACAATTGTAATGCTGAGTGTGTTTCTCTACCCAAGTCTTCTGACAGTTATTCCATTACTGTATCCCAGAATTTGTATAGGATTGTGAATATACACTAAACTGATTGCAGCTGTGCTACTTCTGCAAAGCCAGGGGTAATCCTGGCTTGGCAGAACAGCTATGGCTTTCTATTCAGATGGACATACTTTTAGACAAGGGGATGAGGTTGGCTAAAGCCAATTTAGCAGGAGAAAGACAAGGAAAAAGCAGCTAGTTTTTAGACCATCATCACCTCCCTACATGCATAAAACCAGACAAATCAGTGTCGTGGTTTAAGCCCAGCCGGCA